CTTCAGTTTGCAATCTCCATATAGAGATATGGATACATACGTGCGCAAATGGATATGCAAAGAATGTGTGTATGTATGTATGTATATCTCTCTGGTTTTGTTTTCCTCGGCAAGAGATACAGAGGCACGGGGTAACCGAGGAGATAGGGATAAATTGGTAAATACACTTTTCTCCGTACATGTTTTTCGTTTATTTTTTTTACTAATTTTTACTCTACTTGGTCGAGGTTCAAAAAGGGAGAAATTAGGTAATTATTGGTGAACTGCAGTTTTGCCACCACTGGTTTCCTGTTGTTCTGATTTATGGTAATAAAAATTGGAGATAATGACTAATCCCTTGATTATAGCGTAATTATTGATTTGATCATTTATCAAACTTTATCTATATACAACATAATGAAACCACATATTAAAGGTCCCACTCAAGTCGAAGACATTTTTGTGGAGAGTCATATGTGATATTTTATCCACTACCACTAATTTGATTATAAAGAGGGTAGAGGTGGACCCAAGATGCCCAATATGTGCTTTATCCACTACCACTAATTTGATTATAAAGAAGGTAGAGGTGGACCCAACATGCCCAATATGTGCTTTAGATCATGAAGATGTGTTACATGTTTTAGTGCTCTGTGAATATTCTACACTTGTTTGGAATATAACACAATTGCCTATCACTAATATTATTACAGATACCTTTTCAACATGGCTAATGGGGGCTTTGGCGGTCTTAACAGAGGAGCAAACCCGGCTATTGGTAGCCGTGTTGTACCATATTTGGAGGAGCCGCAACTCAGCTGTGTGGAAGGGGTCTATGATGCGGCCAACCGACGTTTGGAGAGTGGCTGTCGCGTCTTTGCAGGCGTACAGTGTTGCGCAACACCGCCAGGCACCGCCGCCTCCAGCGCCACCCACTGGAACAGACACGGACAACAGCAGCCTCAGATGCTATGTGGACGCGGGTTTTCGCCAGGACACTGGAGAGGCCATGTACGGTATTGTACTAGTTTCACCAGATAGCTCTTTCATAGCAGCAAAAAATGGCAAATTGCCTTTTTGCTTCACACCGTTTATGGTAGAGGCACAGGCATATAAGGAGGCACTGTCCTGGCTACTAGGAAGGAACGACACATCAGTATGTCTATTCACGGATTGCATGGTACTACATACTACTATGCGCCAACATGATTCACCAATTCATTCGTATGTTGGGGTCACGATTGACCAATGCAGAACACTTATGTCTTTATTTAGTCGTATTTCGTTAAATTATGTCTCTAGACAGGTTAATTTACATGCTCACACTCTAGCTTCCTTAGCTTTTACTCAGGATCATGCTATGTACTGAGATTCTATCCCCTGACGCTATTACAGCTTTGATTCATTAATACAATTGGTAGATTTTTTTTTTTTTTTTTTTTAAAGCACATATATTGTAATTAAATTACCCAACCAAAAAATTCATACAAAATGCTGCAGGCTTTACATTTCTAACTCGGTCTAACCTATTTCCCTAAGCAGTAGTATATAAAAGGCATTAGTGTGACGCTAGCTCCAGTCTTCCTTGGATTACCAATATAATAATAATAATATAATAATTCATCCGGACTCCGAGATCCGGTGATCCCGCGAGACTTGCAATAATGAGTACTATGAAGTTTTGGCCTGAATGGTTAGTTTCTCAAATTATTTCAATCTTTTTCTTGTGTAAGTATGAGTGTTTACTTGCTCTGTTGTGCAGCAACAACATTCTGTACCCAAAGGAAGACAAACCTCAAAAGATCCTCCCCTATGCATGTCGCAATTGCGATCACCAGGTATCGTGTAAAGGTTGCAAACACTTTGACAGTGCTGCTTTCAGTGCTTTGTCTCGATCAAATAAACTAACATTGTTATTGATTATGAACATATACTTTGGTTTATATTTTTGAACCCTCTGGCTTTAGTGTTATTTATATTGTTTTGATCTTACTGGCTACTATACCTTGTTGCTAACACTAGTTTCATTGTATATAATTGCACTGGTAACTTGCTATCCGGTGAAATTGCATATATTTAGAGTGTTTAGTAGTCTAATTGCACGTTTTTGGAGTGTTCAGTGGTCTAATTGCATTTTTTTTCCGTTCAGTGACCTAATTGGATTTTCATGTTACGTTTAGTAGCCAATTTGAACCTTATTCCTTTATAATAATAATAATAATAATAATAATAATAATAATAGCCAATGACCTTGTGGTCGAAATAGTTCAAGGTATATTTTATATATTTTATTAATTCATAACCACCGTAAAGAGTTAAGTGGTTGCTTGCCATACATTCCCTTCTAAATGTAGCTAAAGTGATATCAGAATCTTCATTTCTTTACTTAATGTCTTCATTCACGTATTTACAATTTCTTTCCTCAATGTCTTCATTCACGTATTTTTGTAACTATCTCTGTAACGGCAGTTTCTTTCTTTTTCTAGACTTGCAAAAATGAGTACTACCCCTCATATGAAGTTTGAGATGAATGGTTAGTTTCTTGATGAATTATTAATTCATCTTTTTCTTTCTATAAGCTTGCGAGTGTTCACTTGACTTTGTTAGTATGCATGGTTGGTTTCTTGAATTATTAATTTTATCTTTTTTTTTTTTTTTAAAGAAAGGCTGCGATCACAAGGTGTTTTTGCACCTCTTATGTGATCAACTATTTATGTAGTAAATTATCGCGAGTATTACAGTACAAAGTCAATTTCTCACCACAAGAGTTTGATCATGTGACCTTCCCTCAAAAAGAGCCACAGAAGTGCCATCTTAGCACAAGGTGTTTGGCCTATCTATGATGTGTGTTCATATTTCTTGGATATATGTGTAGTCAACTACTAGGGGAGAAGAAGGAATGGCTCTGTTTTTTTGTTTGCTGCAACCCGAACTGTGGCAACAGATGGAAAGGCTAACATGGTGCATGTTTGTGCCATAATTATTTAAGAAGTCTTATTTTATTATATTACAAATTACAAATTTAGATATTAATAAATTACTAAATAGTTTTTTAGAAACTAATAATTAGTTATTTAAGAATTTTTATTTATTTATTAACAACTTAGTTGTGATGCAGCTACTCTTTTTGTATACCACCCTAGAGGTGAAAACTTCGTAACGTTGAGACCATCTTGTGAGAAAATAAACAAAAAGCTTCATGTTTCTAACAAGCTTTGTGACTACAAATTCTTCTCACCACTCATTTTCATTTGTGTACAAATCATATATGTGCATTCGCCTGTGTTGTGTATTTTCATTATATTCTCATTTTTCCTTGTTTGATTGAAGTGTTTATCTTCACAAGACAGTGGGAGTTTTAACATGTGGACCGGGTCATTCAATTGTAAGTTATTTCTTAATTCTTAGCTTTAATTTTATTCATACCATTACCCTGTGTATGAGTAGTGCAAGCCTTATGCCTATTTTTGACCATTTAATCATCACATGAATGTTTGTCTACTCCATGGAGTGATGAAAATGTGCATCTTTTGTCTTATATATCCAAAACATTTCTAGCTTCCGGACTTTTGTTATTACTTGTTAGATTTTTATAATTTTGATTTTGACAATGTAATTATGGACATTGTATTGAATTTGTGTTGCTAAAATTTTGCATTTTGGACTTATGAATATAATTTGTGGTTATGTAATTAAGTATTGGACTTGTTATCATGTCATGTAATAATTTTTTTTCTTTTACAAACGGGATTGACCCCACAATGACGACAAAAAGGACAAGATATTATGGAGAATTTCAAAAATATGAAAAGTTATGATGAGTCACAAACTCACAATTGTATTTTAAATAAAGTTAGGAGAACAATGAATAAGGTGAAATAGGTTATTGAATTACATGTAAAATTGTAATTAGACTATTCAATTTAATAAATTAGTAAATATTAATTTTGGTTTCACGAGTATTAGCAAAATGACGATTTTAATCCACATCTTTAATTCCTACCAATTTCATCCACGACTATTGTTTTAGTACCACTTTTCATCTACGACTATTATTTTAGTACCAAAATTCATCACGCCGGTCATCCCTCAATTTAAGACATGCCGAAATCTACAAATTTTAAGGGCATTTTCGTCCTTTTCAACTTAAGATTCTTTGAGCGTAAATAAAGCGATTTAAGCCTTAAGATGGTCCCAATTCGCAGTTCTCCTCCTCTTCCTACCTTAAATTTGAGGAGGAGAACTGCGAATCAGGATAGATATTAGGGTTTAAATCCATCTATTCATGCTCAAATTGAGATCGTAATTTAAAAAAGACGAAAATACCCTTAATAATTTCATATTTCGGCATGTCTTAAACGAAGGGTGACCGGTGTGATGAATTTTGACACTAAAACAATAGTCGTGGATGAAAATTGGTACTAAAACAATAGTCATGGATGAAAATTGGTAGTAATTAAACATGTGAACCAAAATTGTCATTTTACTAATACTCGTGGGACCAAAATTTGTATTTGCTCTTTAATAAATGATCTAAAATCATGCAATTAAATCAAAAGTTAAAAAAAAAAAGAACAAAAAAAAACACGACCATCTCTCTGCCTTTGTTTTCATACAAAAACAATGAGGTTTATTTGCCTCCAAGTTGGAGACGAAGATCATCTCTTTGTCTCCGATCAGAGATGAAGGAGAATCGAAAACATGTCGCTTTTAATTTAATTGCATTATTTTGAGTTGATCAGTGATCAAATTGTATTTCTTTTGAGTTAAATGATCCTATTACAAGTTCAAGGTGTAATTTAATAGTCGTTTTTTTTTTTTTTTGAAAATTAATAGTCGTTATTTATAACTTTTAAAAAAAAAAAAATTATTATAGCAGCCACTGCAATTAGGTAAACTAACAATCACACAGAACAGAGTTTAACAATAATTAAACCGGTGATATACAAAATTCATATTAAACCCATTTGGTGCCTTTCCGGAATTGAACTTTTTGTTGATACGTGAAATGAACCAAGCTCAGTGATGTTGCATGAGCATTGGTACACACACAGAGAGATGACAGATCTTTCTATTGTCTTCAGTTCCTTAAGATATTTTAATGGCGGAGTTTCAGAGGCACTCACTCACATATCCCGTTATCCATGGCCGGCACACTCGTCCCTCGCGTCGTTCCACATTAGAATAGAATATCCATCGGTATATCCACCTAATATACTCCAAATATTCCACCCGCTCTTGTGGAAACTATCTCTGAGCAAACACAAAATGCTGCTTCTGCTTAACTCTTCGTTTGTTGATCTCTTTATATCTGTTTTGTGCTCTTCTTCACTTACTCTAGCATAACTCCATATATCACAGAGCGGTGTGTGTTCCAGAAGCTAATTACATTACCCATGGCCATGGATAAGGATAAGCGCGGCAATTGCGTGAATAGAGAGGGGTATAAAGTTACTCCATTGGTGCTGCAACCTGTGGATAGGGTTAGGAACAGACTTATCCCCGGGACAGTTGTGATCGCTTATGATGCAACTAAAGATCGCAGTGAGCGTGAATTCTATGAAACTATCAGGGATATTAGGATGAGGGGTGACATTCTTCATCCAGGTGACACCATTGTTGTGCTTGGTGTGCTGCATAAAGTGCTCCACCCTAGTGAGTATCTTGCCAATTTCTTCCTCTATCTAGGTTTCCCTTTGATTTCAATTTGTTTTGTGGAGATTAAATTATTAGTAATGGATTTCAATTCTACCAGTTTTGTGTGCAAAGTCAGATAAATTTGTAATCATGAATTTACTATATGTTTTGGGGGATAACTTTATCTTGGTGTTTCATGCCTATTCTGTTTCTATGCAATAGGAAATCTTTTTGTAAACAGGTTTAATTTTCAATTAATTTTGATCTTTCATGCATTTTCTGGTTCTTCAGCATCCCTGGCATAAACATGCATAAGAATGTTTTTGCAGTGGGTTATCATCTACAAGTGGTGAACTCAGAGTCAATGTTTGGAGCGCCCCTTCGTGCCATGGAAGAAGAGGTTGCAAAGAAGGCGGACCTATATGCGAACATGCTCATGCAAAGTGCACAAGAATGTGAAGGTTTGGGGGTAATCCACACACCCTTAGTCCTCATGATTGTTACATAAAGGATAAATAGATCACTACTATTTAGGAAAAAAAGTTTAGAATGGCCTGCTATGTAGAATGGTAAAATTAATGAGCTGTTTTCATAATAAAATAACAAGAAGAACAGATAGTTCTTGACTGCTGCAAATTAAAACACTTAGAGGACCACATGAGTTCTATTCCCTCAGCAGATAGCTTGATTTCTCTTGAAACCTCTAAATTACTAAGCCGTTGTTTTTAGTTTTCTCATTTCAATATTCTTTTCCTTTGTATCTATAGTTTGTCTTTTGTGCTTAGGTTGACATTGAAGTGAAGATTGTTGCTGGGGCTCTAAAGAAGGTTATTGTACATGAGGTCAAAATTCTTGATGCCACTTGGGTTGTGCTTGATAGGTATATTCATATGATCAATCTGTTTGTACACTTGATCTAGTATATTTGCATTTTATTTAATTTGAAGTAAAGAAACATAAAGATGAGTTCGAAGTTGCATATGAATATGCATCTATATGATTCTTTGTAGTTTGTATTCCTTTTCAGATTTACTGATAATTCAAAGGTTGTATAATTTGTTTTTCTATCATTGATAATTTACCAACAGAAGTGCCAATTCTTAACAGGAACTTTGGACGGGATTTGCAGTTTTACCTTACTCATGTACCTTGCAAGGTTGCACTTCAGGCAGATAACTTGTTAGTTGAGGTTCGGAGAAATGTTAGGATAACAAATATTGAAAACACAGAATATAAGGATATTCATTCAGTATCCAAGTCTGTCCCTCTGACACCTATTTCATATACTGAGAGCTCCAAGCAGTCTGCCGTTTCTCATAACAGCGACTCTGCATCTATCAGTTCAACTGAAAACTCTGACTTGCCCAATAAGAACTTGCAATCGTCATTGCCACATAATTCACAGGAGAATAGTTTTTCATTGCAAGATGATCTTGGCTCCAGCGTTAAGCAAGTGAGATCAGGTTAGTTAGAATATTTAATTTATTCTAATATGCAATTTCTGGCTTAGGAACTTGCATTTTTTTTAAAATGTGATTGAGCATGCTGGAACAATTTATCTTAGTATACCTGACTTCATTCTCACTTCTCTGAAAGTAATTGCTTTTTAACAGGTAGGTATGCCAAAGAGGAAAACAAGCATCCAAGCCATTCACTTGCTGTTTCAAAACAACGAAAAGAGCCTAGTCAGCACAGATCATTCAATGCACCCATTCTTTGCACTGCTTGTGGGATGACAACAGAGCTGTATATCAATGATTCAATGAGATTCAGTTTTTCAGAAATACAGTTGGCAACAGGTGATTTTTCAACGGACAACTTGCTTGGAGAAGGCGGATATGGTCATGTATATAAAGGTCAACTCAAGGATGGGCAGTTAATTGCTGCAAAGGTGCGAAAGGAAGCAAGTACCCAAGGATTTTCAGAATTTCATTCCGAAGTTTATGTATTAAGCTTTGCTCGCCACAAAAATATTGTGATGCTGCTAGGCTACTGTTGCAAGGAAAATGTGAATATCTTAGTCTATGAGTACATCTGCAACAAATCTCTTGAATGGCATCTATTTGGTAAGTAAATTAAGGATTGTCAAAGGTCCCTGACTCATAATGTTAGTTATTATTAATGCCTTTTGAAGAAAAATTGAAAAATCTACTATATGTCTCACCTTACATAGAAACTTTTGGAGGGGTACGGGAATTGCATCTCTGACATTCTTTATGTTCTTTTTTCTTTTTTAATTTGAGTTGTGTCTTGACAGATAACCCAGAGAACATTCTTGAGTGGCATCAAAGATACTCCATTGCCATCGGAACTGCTAAAGGTTTGTGTTTTCTGCATGAAGAATGCCGTGGGAGTCCCATAATTCACCGTGATATGAGGCCTGGCAATATACTTCTCACTCATGACTTTGTCCCCATGGTAAATTTACATACTCCGTAATTACTCAAGTCCTTTAGTCAAAATGACTTTCCATGAGGCATAGAGTTTGATAAAGAAAGGAGACTACTTGATTTGCACTCTCCTTTTGGTAGCCTAGTCCAACTTTGTCAATACAACAAGTTTACTGAATTACTTTCTTTAAATTTCATTAAATTGTAACTCCCTTTCAGAAATTCAACATGGTTTGGAGGCTAAAAACATTTTGATTTTGATTTTTTTGGTTTACATAGCTAGGTGACTTCGGACTTGCAAAGTGGAAGACAAATGAAGAGAATGTACAAACCAGGATACTTGGCTCACTGGGGTGAGTCGCCAACTTGAATACTTTTTGGATGCACTGAAAGTCACACGTTTAATGATATCGTTTTTTTGTTGATGTAATCAACCAACAGTGCACTTTTTTTCCCCTTCCAGATACCTTGCCCCTGAATATGCTGAGAATGGTATTGTATCAGTAAGAACAGATGTCTATTCATTTGGCATTGTTCTTATTCAATTGATATCAGGACGCAAAGTTGTAGATTCAACAAGAGATGACAGCCAACAATCCCTGAAACAGTGGGTATGTTCTCTGTCTCTTTCAGTCAGCGAAATTAATGAATCTCTCCCCTTCTACTAGCTTAAACATTTAGATCAAACTATTTTCTTTTTCTTGTTTTAAAATGAACTTAAGATAATAATGATCCCATTCATTGCATTTAAGGCAATACCATTGATTGAGCGGCTCGCGTTACATGAGCTCATTGATCCCCGTATTGAAGATTCATATGACCCATTTGAAATATACCACATGGCTAGGACAGCATTCCTTTGTGTGCAAACTAACCCCGAGATGCGCCCATCAATGGCAGAGGTAATGCATTATCATCTTTTTTTCCACTCATTTCTGAAAATTACTTGAAAATCAGACTTGTATGCGCTTCACCAATCACCAGTAATGATGCCTTGAGAAGACTTCATTAATCAATGGTTATTATATTCTTCGCGTATCTGTTAGCTTAGTTATATCTACAAGTTAAAGTTTTTTTGTTCTTGAAGTATCATGCCTCCTAGATATGCTGCTGTTTATCACCATGTTGTGTTGAATTAGCTATAATGTAATCACAAATATATGCAGGTCATACGCCTTCTTCGTGGAGAGTTGGAGGATACCCACTATATTGCAGAGCAGTTTATACCTCATTTTGCACCTCATGTTAGAAATAGTTAATTTTAATTTTAGTCCTCGAACTATTGCTCTTTTTCAATTTTTGTTTTTTCACTTCAAAATTGATCATATTTGATGCTTGACTTCTGCAAACATGTCATTGTTAGCCCTCCAAGGACCAAGATTTGGTACCTGACTAGGACTAAAAATGACTTGTTTTCAAGGCCATATATCAAGTTTGGTTAATTTTTAAGTCAATTACTAAAAATTGAAATGACAGAATAGTTAATTGACTAAAAGTAAAATTAACTCATTACTCACTTGCTGCCTTGCTGGGTTGTTTTTCATAAAGTTAAATGTGGAATGTATGCCGCAAATTGAGGCGTTATATGTATATTTTGGATGGGAAGTCGATGTTACCCACACGGCTACATGCGAACCACATATAATATGCATGCTTTTATTCTTTCATTTCAATTTGTTATTTGATGTTTCATCAAGATGGTGATGCATGCTTCATCAATTAAAACATAATAACTAAAAACATGAATTAAATGAAAGTATTAAATTCTCTTATTTCTGCTCTTAAAAAAGTTTAGCTAAATTGCGGCAAATTATATCATGGACCATGGTCTATCTTGCATTTTGTACCTACAATTCACATATTCTGTACCTACAATTAATTATTTCTGTACCTGTAAAAAATTTGAATTCACATTACATGATAATTACAAACATATAACATGATAACTACATATACATAAACGGTTAACTGCAGGTACACAATATGTTAATTGCAGATACTGGTGATTGGTGAAGCGCATACAAGTCTGATTTTCAAGTACACAATATGTTAATTGCAGATACATAACATGTAACTAACATCTTATGTGTTTTCAGTTAAAATATTTTGTACCTGTAGGAAATTGCTAACTGCAAGTACAAAATGTATTAACTGCGGACATATAATTTTTAAATTAAGCTTCACAATACAATATGAATCATGGTCTATGGTATAACAAATGATAAATTGCAGGTACACTCTCGCATAATTTTTCTTGACACGCTCTCTTAAAATGGTTCAAGGCAAATTGATTAAAGTATTAAACAATGTGAATCTAGTTGGATGACTTTTGGATATGCACACATATATTTCTTTCTAATGTAAAAATGAAGTGGTCCTTATCCAAGTATAAACTTGTGCCCATGGTTGATGAGTGAAGCATCATCATGAACTCATGATTTTATCATTTTATAATATGACTACATTTTGAGATTGAGACAATGAAAAGTACTATTTTTTATAGCTTCAAATGTTTATCTTTGACATGACAATAAAATTCTATATATTCATTGGTTATTTGTGATTTGACCGACTCTACCTCATATTAAGAAATAAAATCACTGATTTGATTTTTGTCAATACCCTCTTGGTTGAATATGTTGCACAAAATTTTTCTAGTGCGATTTACATCTTTTGTGTGATTCGTGGACTATTATATATGAACAAGAATTATCATGTACATACATTTAAGTAGTAGTTGTGAGTTTTTCTCTTCATCTAAAAAAATCACGAGAAGAATATAACATGGCTGGTAACATAATAGAAGATAAGGATTGGCCAAATTAACTAAATTATAATCAACATTTGAAAATTCAAATCAAGACACTTTTGGAACACAAAAGTGTCAAAATCAAAATGGAACAAGTGCAAAAAATATATCCATAATAGGCCAGAATTCATGGTCCCAAATCCATTCACCACCACTCAATATTCCCCAATTCATAATTCAATTCTCACAGTTCCCCCCTCCATATTATCCTTACACAATTATTTTATTTAACTAATATTAATAAATCAAAGCAAGCTATTTTCTCTATCTCTCCTTTTTTCCTTATCCAAATGATGAATGTAACATATATTAAGAAATGATGATAAAATATATTAATTACTCTGATAATATTCAGTAAAAAATTATAAATAAAAAAGTATTAAATACGTATATCAGTTTAGTTCGCCGCATAGGATTTTCTTAGTGTCATTTATCTTTTATGTATCATTTACTGATATTATACAATAGTGAGTTAACCCGATGCATAATTTCAGATAATGACCGCGAATTTTTATAGTAAAAATACATTATAAATAAAACATTATTTACTCCATATATACAATAATTGTATTTAAGTACATTCATATGGCATGTTGTCTTCTTCAAGAGATTTTTTTTATTATTTTTTTTTGTAAACAATAATTACTAACTAGAATTATAATTATTTTTTTTGAGTGAGGAGGGAAGTTCTCGCAATCACTACCCAAGAGTATACATTGATAAACCATGCCTTGTAACCCTATTCGACAAAGGACTACAAGCAGATAAAAGTAAAACTAATCTACATTGTCCATAATTGATCGACTCAAACTAAGAATGTCAATAGACAACTTACTTATCCTTAATATCCATAACCATATTAATCAAATTGTCAAAAAAAAAAAAAATCACAACAATTTCAAATAAAGTATTATGAAAAGTCTACGATACAAAAAAAAAAAAAAACGATATATATAAAAATGTGTGATAATATTTCTGTAAATAATTCTTATTTTATTATTAATATTAAATACAACATTTAAAAAAAATATAGTAGTAAATAGTAAACATGATTATTGCGCATAATTTTATTGATTATTTGGAAATAGATTGATTTGATCGCAATTAAATTATATTTGAACATAAGATGCTATTTATAACAAGTGTAAAGTGTAAACGAACCTTAAAATCTTGATATTTCAGAACTTCCAAAACAGAGTTTGTTTCACATGGTGGCATGGCAACGTGTGTTGGGTACTGCCCTTGCCGCCACTTGGAAATGAGTCGGGCTATCACTACTGCCGGAGCGACCCACAATCATCCTAACTACTTTCCCACTAGGTTTCCTGGGTCCGGGTCCGGATTCGGATTCTGCTACGGGTCTGCTCTGCAGAGGAAGCAAAGATGGCCAAGGCGCCATCGCCCCAAGCTCCTTCTCACCGCTCAGCTTTCCAACGCTTTCTCCGTCAACATCGGCTTGGATTCTCAGGTTAGGTTAATTTGGTTACTCACCCTTCACTTTTGCATTTTCTGACATTTTTCAACAACTGATTTTGGTTTCCTTTGTAAGAAAACGATGAATTTTTGTATTATTCTGTTATGTTTGCAATTCGTATGCCTAAATGTATGGAGAAGGTGTTCCCAAACTTTTTACTTTTTAAAATTGATGCATATGCATCACAGATAGATAATAGATTTGTGTTTTGATTCTGTATAATACATGATTCAATTCAATATACTTTGGATTTTAAATTTTAATAGGATATTTATTACTATGATTGTTGAGCTAATTCTTTTACTTAGTAGTAAATTAATGAAAATTTTCAGTTTTTGTTAATTGCTGGTTCAATAGAGTGTATGTATGCGTTTGAAGTCCATAATGTTGGCTGATTGCCTTGCTTGACTGTAAATATTTACCAGTCACGCGGTACATCACAGTTGCGATGGATTGGTCCACTGCCCGGGGACATTGCAGAAGTAGAGGCTTATTGCCGAATTTTCAGGGCAGCTGAACAGCTGCGGAATACATTAATGGACACACTATGTAATCCCGTGACTGGGGAATGCAGTGTCTCATATGATGTTCCATCAGAAGATAAACCATTGTTGGAAGATAAAATAGTTTCTGTTCTAGGTTGCATGGTCTGTCTTTTGAATAAAGGGAGGGAGGAGGTGCTATCTGGAAGGTCGCGGATTATGAACTCATTCCGTGATGTTGATGTTGATATGATGGAGGATAAGGTTCCTCCGCTGGCAGTTTTTAGGGGGGAGATGAAAAGTTATTGTGAGAGTTTACATGTTGCTCTTGAAAACTTCTTGACACCTGATGATGCTCGGAGTACAAATGTGTGGAGAAAACTGCAAAGACTGAAGAACGTATGTTATGATGCTGGGTTTCCTCGTAGAGACGATTTTCCCTGTCAGTCATTGTTTGCAAACTGGTCTGCTATTTATTTGTCAACTACAAATGAAGAGACAGAGTCAGCAAGATCTGAGGCTGCTTTTTGGACAGGTAGCCAGGTAACTGAAGAAGGTTTAAAATGGTTGTTGGATAACGGGTTCAAAACGATTGTAGATCTTAGAGCTGAGGTTGTAAAAGACAACTTCTATGAAAACATGCTAGATGAAGCTATTTGCTCTGGCAAGATCAGGCTGATTAAACTTCCGGTTGAAGTTGGTACATCACCGTCAATGGAGCAGGTTGAGATGTTTGCAACTCTGGTCTCTGATTCAAGGATAAGACCCATATATCTCCACAGTAAGGAAGGGATTCGGAGAACATCTGCAATGGTCTCTAGATGGAGGCAATTCATGGCTCGCTACACCTCACAGGTTGTGCAAAATCAGGGAGCTCCATCCAATGATAATAGAGAAATAGAAGTTCCCTTGTTCTCAAACTCAGATGAAGGTACTGCTTTTAATGATAATGGACGATCAGGAGATGATCAAGATGAATCCCACCCAAAAAAATCAAGTGATGTAGTTAGTTCTACCAGAGAACTTGTTAATCAAAGTTCTCAAGACAGAGAAAATCAGTCACTGAACAAGAATGAAGTGGAGAAGACTGCTGCATTCAAGTCGGATACTGCATTTTCAGGGACTGAAAGTGTAGTTGTTTCATACACCAAAATAAACCCACTTGAGTCACAGCTGCCTCCTCCTAATGTTTTCTCCCGAAAAGAGATGTCCACATATTTCAAAAATAGAAAGATTTCACCAGAAATATATTTTACACATGAACAGAAACGATTAGAGATCTTGTGTGCCTCAAAATATGACAACAAAAGGAAACCTTGGACAAGCGACACCACTGCTTCTAGAACTGAATACAAATTGATAGAACCAGATAACCCAAATGGTTCATATAACAGCAAGAGCTTATCTGGAAGTCTTTCAGCTTTTCCTGCTGATCTTGGAACATATGTGGGTCCTAATGGTTCTATGGCTCCTGTGTTGAATGGATACAGCAACGGATATACATATACCATGAGTCCAAATGGTGAGTTTGCTAATACAAGAAGTGAGTTGGAGAGAAATGCTATCTCTTCAACCATTATAACAGACCAGAGGAGTAATGTTGAAGCCCCTGCATCCTCAAGTGATGAAGAGTTGGAGATTGGAGATATGTGTGCTTCTGCAACTGGTGTTGTGAGAGTGCAGTCAAGAAAGAAAGCTGAAATGTTCCTAGTGCGTACAGATGGATTTTCATGCACCAGAGAAAAGGTAACTGAATCATCCTTGGCCTTCACCCACCCTAGCACCCAGCAGCAGATGCTTATGTGGAAATCTACACCTAAGACTGTACTATTGTTGAAGAAGCTGGGACAGGAACTCATGGAACATGCTAAAGAGGTAGCTTTCTAGTTCTCATTCTAATTGAAAATT